TTGTGAGCCACCATGTGGTTGCTGGGAATTGAACTCAGGACCTCTGGAAGAGCAGCCAGTGCTCTTAACCTCTGAGCCATCTCTCCAGCCCCAGCATGCAAATATTTTTAACACAAAACAGAATCACAAATTTAATTAAATTGAATGTAGTACAATTTTTGATACTTCTAAAAAGGCTCAGCATTGCTTAAAAAGGAATGATGTAGGTTTCAGAACCAGTACACCAGAGAAGGCAGGGGCATGACCTGAGCATATGACGTATCTGTGCAACACTAGCACGCAAGAAGATGACACAGAAGGGTCACTGCAGTATGGGGCTAGCCTGCACTACACACCGAGCCCGTGTCTCAAACCTCTTCCCTCCTTGATGCTCAATGTTGAGAGTAAAGGTTTAGAGAGAGCATTAAAGTTACTGAAATGAGCGGGCTCCTGTGTTTTAGGCTCACAGTCACATCTCAAGAAAATCTTGTCTTTGTCAAAACCACAGTTTTTTAAGTTGAAACACAGCAGGTTCAGGGAGCGGTACTTCCGAGCGCAATGCTGCCTCCCGTTCAGCCATTAACTGGGTTATAACAACTGCATATGCATCCCAGAGACCGGACCGGCCCCCCAAGTATTTACCACATCAGTGACTGCTCTGTCGCTGGACTTTGGGACCAGCACTCTGTGTGTCCTCTTCCTGACTAGGGCGCTTCCCGTTGCCAAGGCTGGGGCCCACGGAGCTTCTCCCTGCACATGTACAAAGGCGTGTGAGGTGGGCCAGGAGCAGGGCGCAGTGTGCCCGACTGCTTCGTCCTTACCTGGCTGACCGTCTCCGTGAGCATAATGCAAAATACCACTTCCTTGAGAGCAACCTGCATTTCAAACAAAAGAAAATATCTAAAAACCCAAGATGTATATTTTAAAGACTTTTTTTATTTTTTAATATTTGTATTTAACTTTTCTCAATCTTAACTCTGAGCCAGAAATCACATCTCAAAATCCAGAAAACTGAAGTTGAGGCTGACCACTGACAATTCAACTACTGGTGGTACTTTATTTTTATTTTGTGTGTAGTGTTTACATGTATGTATTGTGTGTATGTACATGTCATGTATGTGCTCGTATGTATGGAGCAGAGGTTGTTAGGTGTCTTTCTCTACGACAGGGTCTTGCACTGAATGCAGAGCTCACCAACTGGCTTACTGGATGGTCCGTGGGTTCCAGACATGTGTAACAACACCTAGTTTTTACATGTGTGAGCCTCTCATTATTTCTTAAAAGGTTTATTTTATGTTTAGTTATGTGCTTGTATGTGGGGAAGGCATATAAGTGCAGGTGCCTATGGAGGCCAGAGGCACCAGAAGCCTATGGAGCTGGAGTCACCAGGCATCTGTAAGTCACCCAAAGTCTATCAGTTCCGGATGATAACTGGAATCATGAATAAAGCACATGGGCACCAGTGAGAACAGATGCCCTTCCTTCAGCCCTGCCGTCCTGTCCATCTCCTCTGTCAGAGCCTTTAACTGTATTTCACTGGAGACAGGGGAGTAAGGGTCTCCTGATGAGAGTTAAACAATTCAGGTCACGAAGACAAGACACAGACATGAAACAGTTCCCTAAGCAATTTTATTAATGCTTTCAAAATGAAATTGACTTCCTAACACAGGGGAGCTTTATAAAGTCATTTTTTTTTTTGTCATTGTGCCCAGGTTATGAAAAGTCTATGCAAGCCAGATGTAGTACATTGTTGGTAAGCCCAGAAATGAGGGACGGGGCAGGAGGCATAAGAAGTTCAAGGGCATCCTTGTCTACCGCAGCAAAGCCAGACTTTGAACACAAAAACAAAACAAAGAACTCAAACCATATCAGAGAGAGAAAAAGAAAATACAGCCACACGGCCCATAGGGTAGGTAGCCCAAGACTACACTTATTTCTGCTGGGCACAGTGGTGTGGACGTGCAGTCCCAACACTAGGAGGTCAAGGCAGGAAGACTGCCGCAAGTCTGAGGTCAGCCTGGCTTACACAGCAAGTTCCAGGCCAGCTATGACAAAATAGCAAAACCCTGGTTAGTAAAGAAATAAACAAATGTCAAAAAGACTACTTATTTCTCTTTCCTTTAATTGAAAATAGATTCTTTTCTTATACAACATTCTGATTAGTTTCCCCTCCTCTATGCCTCTCAGTTCCTCCCCACCTCCCCTCCCCTCTGGATCCACTCCCTTTCTGTCTCTCATTAGAAAGGAACAGGCTTGGGCTGGAGAGATGGCTCAGAGGTTAAGAGCATTGCCTGCTCTTCCAAAGGTCCTGAGTTCAATTCCCAGCAACCACATGGTGGCTCACAACCATTTGTAATGAGACCTGGTGCCCTCTTATGGCCTTCAGGCATATACGCAGGAAGAATATTGCATACATAATAAATATTAAAAAAAGAAAGGAACAAGCCTCTAAGAGATAACAACCAAACACGACAAAATATAATAAGATAAAACAAAAACAATCACATTTCTCGACAAGGAAACTCAACAGAAGGACTCAGTGAGTGTTTTAAAAAGAGGGCAGGGATTTGGAAGAGAGTGTGTGAGGGTGAGGGGCTGGACGCGAGGGAAAGGGGGTGAATTTGATGAAAACAAATGCATGTGTGAAATTCTCAGATTCTGGAAAGATGCATTGAAACTGTAGTAAGTCTATGTTAAATGGAACTACACAAGGCATCTTTTCTGCTTTATATTTTTCTGAGTTTTCTGCATTACACTGAGAATTATTATTTTATCATTCCCCCTAAAATGAATCATTTATGCCTACTGTTCGCTATAGGCCTATGTGCAGTCTGGGAAAAAAGCCTGTAAAACGCCTTCTAACACAGTTACCTGAATGGCTATGGTGGTTAACACTGTCAATATGACAGGGTCTAGAATGACCTACGACACAAGTCTCTGAGCACCCCACCCTTGTGGGCAGCATCTTCCCATATGCTGGGGCCCCAACTGAATAAAAGGATACAGCAAGCTGAGCAGCACACATCACTTGCTTTTCCACCGTGGATGTCACGTGACCAGCTGCCTCTATTCCTGCCATCGCTTCCTGGTAATGGTAGATCCTATCCTTGACTATAAGTTAAGATAACCCTCTCTCCCTCACATTGCTTTTGTAAGAAACTGTTCACAACACAATGAGCAACTAATGGCTGAGAATGTAGTTTCCAGTTTTTGTTTTTACATTAATAAAAATTACTTTGAGATGTATGTGTATGTATGTGCATTGTGTTGTATATATGTGGCCTGTGTGTGTGTGCTCACTTGCATGCATGCATATGCACCTGTCTAGAGGTTATTGGCCAACTTTTAGAATTCCTCCTTCTCCCAGTGGGTCCCAGGGAATGATCTAGTTCATAAGGCTCTGGGAGAGAACAGCTTTTGATTTTTAAACAAATCCAGTTTCCTATAAGATCTCCTTTGTAAAAAAACACCAAACCTGCCACCTGTTTATCATGTCCGTAACCCCAGCTCCCTGGAGGGAAGATGAATTTGAGGCTGGCCTAAAACCAACCGCCAGACTGTGTCAAGTAAGATAGGAGGCAGGGTAGGGATGCAGCTCAGGTGGTAGAGCACTTGCCAATGTGCAGGCAGCCCTGGGTTTAACCCTCAACTCATAAACACTAGGCATGTGGCTGTAATCCCATCACTCGGAAGGCAGAGGCAGGAGGATCTACAGAGTGAGTTCCAGGTCAGCCAGGGCTCCACAGAGAAACCCTGTCTCAAAAGAGACAATGGTTCTCGAGCTTAGCAGCACAAGTTATTACAACCATGACTTCTCGTTCAGATCCACTTCACCTGAACACATAGAAACAACTGGTGTGGGAAGTCCTGTCTATGTGTTGTTCTACTGGTTAGTGAATGAATCTGCTTAGGCCAGTGGCTTAGCAGAACAGGACAAGACAGGAGTTCCAAGCAGATAGAGGAGGAGAGAGTAGGCAGAGTCAGGGGAAGCCATGGAGCTGCCAGAGGAGAAAGGCACAAGCTGTCAGATGGAACCTTGCTGGTAGGCCAGGAGCCTCGCGGTAAAATATAAAATAATAGAAATGAGTTAAGCAAAGATGTAAAAGCTAGCTAGCAATACTGGTGATTAAGTGATTGGCCAAGCAGTGATTTAAATAATATAGTTTCTGTGTGATTATTTTGGGAGTCTGGGTGGCTGGAAAATGAACAAGCAGCCTCCCCCAACAAACAACTGCTTATAGGGAATTATATTATCAGTTAATCAGTTTTCCAGATGCTAAGTTCATTTTCCTAACATTTTAAAAAGCATGTTAAAATGAAACAAAAGCATGCACACTCTAGAAATAAGATGCCAACCACACACGTGTCTACCGTGAGTCTGACGGGATCGGGCACACTACTTATCTGGCTGAGGTGACTCAACTGCATAAGCAGGGCTCGCCGAGGAGAAAGGCTCTCCTTACTCTCCCATACAGCGCTACTTTGAACAACTTACAGCTTGAGCTCTTGCTACATAGGCATATATTAGTGTCTGCCTGGCTGGGCGCTTTATGCTCACAGTAGGCGGAAAGACTGCCCAGGACATTTGAGATTTCTGGGCAACAATGACCGGAGAGTAAGCTGGCTCAGAAGATCAGGCAGTAAGGTGCACAGCACTGCCGCCCGAACCCTGAGGGCTGCCAGCAACAGGTGAGTGCGTCACAGGCCCAGAGATCTAGGTGCATCTCGGTGTCACTGGATTTATCTGTTTTAAGTAGGCCCAGGGCTCTGTTTTAAAGTTAATTTAGCTCTGTGCAGCCACAGCCATGCTTCCTCACACCTACTGCAGACACCCTCAGTCCAGAGTGAATGCTAACTTACACCTTACTGTAAAGCAGGGCTTCTCAACAAGGCGCTGCAACCCCTTCATGTGAATGATACTTTCATGGGGGTGGTGCATAAAATCATCAGAAAACACAGATTATGATTCATAACAGTAATAACATTAGTTATAAAGTAGCATGAAAATAATTTCATGGTTGGAGGTAACCACAATATGAGGAACTATCTTACAGGGTCACAGCACTAGGAGGGCTGAGAACCACTGCTCTAAAAATAACATTTGCAAGATGTTATTTTTCCTGTCTAGCTCACGGTGTTTCTGAGGTCACACATGTGGCACATGCTAACATCCTCCTCATTCTTTTATAAATAACATTTGATCGCATGGGCACACAAGCCAAGTTGTCACAATCAGTTGTTAGCCTGTGGGGAACATATGTTTTCTTCTGGGAAACTAGTTAGGTCTGGGATTTGGGGGCTGCGCAGTAAATTCATGCCTTTTCACACTCCGCTCTCTCTCCACAGCTTCCAGGGTTTTCCTCTGGGCACCTGTTTTGTCTTTTTCACAGCACCAGAATTTCTCCCCTACTCTAGCAGGCATCTAGGAACCATCCTGCCTCAGTCGCTCTACATGGTGCGTGTCAAGCACCATCTCACAACACTTTCAGTCTGCACTTCTCTGGCAAAGGTAGTTTTTTATTAGAAAAAAATGTATCAAAAATTAAATTAAAACTAAATCAGTTTGGTACTAGGAAACAGGTGGCAGCTATTTCACTCTGGGTCTATAGCTAATTCCCTGAGCGTAAAAAAACAACAACAAAAAGAGTTATTTGCATTTCAGAGAGTTAGAATTTGCCAGTCATTAAAAAAAGGAAAAAAAGCAATCCCCAAAGAGAGCTGCCTATTACCTCAGAGGTAGAACACAACCCAAACGCCACCGAGAGTCATGAACTTGGATGAGCCTGGTGAGGCACTGTAGAGAACAGCCCACAGAAAGGATAGGGGCTGGGCATGAGCAAAACCCTAGAGATCTCCCCACAACATACGTGTCTAGCTCTAAAATGGTTTCGTCTCCACCTGACAATTAAAACACTGTCAATCCACCATCTTCTAAAAAAACTGGCCCTAGGTTTGTCGGCTCTCAGGGATTCCTCCCTTGCACCCACTCAACCAGTGGCTGGAAGTGTGTGTGTGTGTGTGTGTGTGTGTGTGTGTAGTTTGCCACTTTTTCTCCTCTATACTTCATTTAGACAGGAAGTACTATGTAGGTTGTATATTCTGCATGTCTTTTAAATGTTTCAGAGAATGAGCCCAAGAAATGGTGTAGGCAAACATTTACATGAATATAGTAATTTCATGATTAATTCTATCCATAAAAATGATCTTATTTTATAAATTCATGAAGCAAAAGGAGCTCGCTTAACTTGCTATCATGATTAGATTTGGGTTATCCCAAACAAAGTGGACTTGGGAGCACTTGGAGCCGACCGGGCCACCCCTCTGCTTCCTGCCTGTCATCACAGTGCTCCCCAGGGGCTGTCTCTCACACTTGTGAGCTGAATAAGAGATCTGAAAGACTTTCAAAATGACACACCAAGACTTCCTTCCAAGGAACCTTTCTGAAGTGGACTGTCACCTTGGCAGCTGTTTGGGGTTGGGTCATGACCCAGCAATGAAATATTTACCCCACAAACAACGCATACAATACCACACCTGCAGAGGAGGTGGGAGAGCTTGGCTAAGCAGCTTAACCTTCCAAAGACGGTTTCCTCAAATACCAAGTGAGGACTCCACCACTCGCCCCATGAGATCACTGTCACCACGGAGCCAACCCCCTATTTCCCGGTGCATGACTGGCAGGAAAAATAGGTTTTTCTTCCCTAAAAAGTAATCCTGCAAAAACAGCATAAATGTGGCTTTTATAGAGACATAGGAACTTTCTGGTTACAAATATTTACTTTTAAAGGGATTTTATTCTCGGATTGTGAAAATAGATCAGTGTGTAGAACACCTCCTCCCAGCATGAAAACTCTGGCTTTAATTCTTAGCACCACAAAAAAAGAAACAAAAGAAACAAACAAAAAACAGAAAAAGCTTTATTTTTAATACCAGCTTAGAACATGTACCTAAAAAGAAAGCACTTTTGAAATGATGCTTTCTTTTGAATCTAGTTACTTGGCCTCATGTGATTTTTGGCTGTAACTTTAGAAAACTAATATAATGCCTTAAATTTCCAATATACACTGACTTTTAAAAAATACAGATACCTATTTTTAATTTATGTTTGTCTGTATCTGCTTGTCTTTATGCACACAGTGTGTGTGCAGGTGTCTAAAGAGGCCAAAAGAAGGTGTCGGATTCCTGAAGATGGAGTTACACATAGCCATCTGTGAAGCATCTAGCATGTGCTCTGGCAACCTGACTCGGATCCTCTGCAAGAATAGCAAGTGCTCTTTTTTTGATACTACTGTTACATACATTTAAAATTATTAACCACCAACACAGACAGACTTTGAAGAACTCATGTGCAAAAGCATGAGGCAACCATGTGACAAATCCTTCAGCTACTCTCACATCTTTAACACGTCACCAATGGACAGAGGGGATGTATTATGTGTGGTAGGTGGAATGTGATTGACCCCAAATCTCACAGGGAGTGGCACTATTAGGTGTGCTGAAGGAAGTGTCACTGTAAAGGCAGGTTTTGAGGTCTCAAGACACCACCCAGTGTCCTGCAGGCCGCCATGCTCCCCACCATGATGAAACTGTGAGCGAGCTAGCCTGATTAAATGTTTTCCTTTGTAAGAGCTGCCATGTCATGGTGTCTCTTCACAGCAACAAGAACCCTGTCTAAGACCCTGTATGCACATATGGACATAAACAATCCATAATTTCATACAGTTTCTAAGCAGTGATGCTTATTCCAGTAAGGCCACTAAACAGTGCAGCACAGAAACGTCTCACTTACTTCCTCCAGTGCTGCAGCCTGGGACACTCTCTCCAGCATAGCCCATGAGCCCTCCATTCCCATTCGGATTAGAGGGGACCGAGGCAAGAAGACCTAAAGGGAAAAAAAAAACTTACAACTAAGGCAAAATCCAGAGACAGCTGCACAGCTGAAGGAGACCAGCCAAACGTAGCCCGTGACCGACATACCTAGCCCTCGGTACCGGGAAAGCTGTTGATAGATCTGTTTCATTCTCTCAATATTCAGGCGGCTTGCCTCGGCGTGGTTCACCATTGGTTTGGGGTAATTCACTCCTATTAAACATTTGGCGACCTTCTGGATACCTTCAGGTGCGTTCCAAGGATCGTAGATGTACTTTGCGGGGAAGCCTCTCAGGACAGGCAAATAACGTCTTTTGGGAGAAGAGATGTTTTAATGAACTGCACAATATAACAGAACATGAACCATGAGTGACACAGAGCAAAGCAGTATCACTTGAATGACGTGTTTACTCTCTCTGCTGCTCATCAGAATTCAGAGAGGAGCCTGCCTTTGCTTCCTGGGTGCTGGGATTAAGAGCGTGTGCCACCATGCCCCTAAGTGCTGCATAAGCAGGTAAAGCTTTCCTTTGGAGCAGCTCTTTCAAACCGTACAAACATCACCCTTGCTTTACCTGATATAGTCTCCATTGGGATCTGTCCTCCTACCAAAACCAACAGGGCAGTAGCAGTGGAAAAACTGCTGGAAAAAAGAACTACAGGACAGCCACATCCAACTTCCAGCATTTATGCTCCAATCTGCATCGAGTAGCAATTCTTCAAAGACCTGCAGAAGTAACAGTAACCAATCAACATTTTTAAGGTCACTGTGGATTAAAAGACAAGAAATCTGAATAGAACTGTAAAATTAAACATTACAAAATATATGTTCTAACAAGCAATTTCAGGGAAAGAATATACTATAAATACAGATTTCTAGATAGAATTTACTTCTATAACCGTGAAGGTTGAATGAGAATGGCCCCCACAGGGGAGCACGCGCGCGCGCACACACACACACACACACACACACACACACACACACACACACGGTCTGTAGTTGGGGGAACTGTTTGGGAAGGATTAGGAAGTGTGGCTTTGTGGAGACAGGGAGCAAGGCAGCAGGTAGGCAGGCATAAAACTGGAGCAGGAGTAAAGAGCGTACATCTGAGCCACAAGTACAAAGCCGAGAGAGAGAGGGACACACACACATACACACACGCACACACACACACATACACACACAGAGAGAGAGAGAGAGAGAGAGAGAGAGAGAGAGAGAGAGAGAGAGAGAGATTTGCGACTTGTCAGACCACCAGTAGTTGACAGCCTCCTACAGAACATGCTTCAACTTCCGTAGGAACTCAATGAGTTGAACATCTTTACCCATTCAGTTTCGAGTGAGTGTATGAACACAACTTCCCTAGGCAGTGCACAGGAAGAGTTCTTCCTAGATGAATTCTTGCTGAGGGAACATCATAATAAACTTTTATTAAGCTGTATGTTAAGTTTCAGGCTTCAATGTATGTATTAAAGCATGTATGTAAGTCTTACGCATAGTTACATGGTGATGTCAGAAAACACAGTATGCTTCAATGTATGTATTAAAGGCTTACTAAGATGAGGTAAGATGACTGATAATTCCATGTAATAGGAATTCACTGTTTCTAAGAGCTCACTGATGAGTATGACAGAAACTCTCACCTGTAAGTATATCTATCCAAAAAAATTGCTTTTGTTATTCTTAAAGACAGACAGTAGCCCAGGCTGGCCTTGGGTTCCAGACATTCTCATGTCTACCATGCTGCATGGGATTACAGACGTGCACTACCACACAAGGCCAGAGTGTGAGCGCTCAACAGTAACAGTTTTCTTATGGGAGGCTGGCTTGGCCACAGAGACTTTTGGCTACAATTTAACTTGGTCCTGCCTGATATTGACACCATGCTCTCTAACTGTCTACGTTGTGGCTATTATAGGCTTTATCTGCTGAAAAGCCAAACTACAAAACAGACAAGTGTTCCCTCTCCCCGCCATATACCACCACCCCACCAACCTCTTCCCCACCTCACACTGCAGCCCAAGATGGCCTTCTCTGTCCTCAGCCTCCCAGGCTGCTCTGATTTCAGACGTGCACTAGCATGCATATCTAGGTGTAGACCAGACTCCAAATGCTTCTCTAATAGTTACAGGCTCCTTCAAAGGCTACATTAGTCACGGCACTCACCTTCATCCCTTCTTCCCAGCTGATCCACAGGTCACCACGCGACAGGAAACATGCAACCGCATGTCTGGCTAAATGGTGAATCCAGCCCTCCTGACGAAGCTGTGTCATGATGGCGTCAATCCATGGAAAGCCTGTCCGGCCTTCTGCCCATTTGGCCAGAGCCTCAGGATTCTTATCCCAAGGGATCTGAACACAGATGGGGTTCCCTTCCATTTTATCAAAGCGTGGGTTGTTTGTTGCTGCCGTATAGAAAAATTCACGCCACAGAAGTTGCCCATAAAGAGAGAGGGGAGGGGAGCTATTTTTCTTTACCTGCAATTAAAAAGCATAGAAGTATTATCAGAAAAAATATTAAAAGTATTTAAAGAAATAGGCTCTGACTTTAGATAATACCTTCTTGTAGAGATCTGTTAGTTTGAAATAAAACAGTCGACACGATAAGCAACCAAACCGGAGATACGGGCTGAGTCCAGTGGGGCTTGCAAGCAGGGAATTCGCGTTCATCCGGGGTCTTTCAAAGTTTGCCACCCAGGCCTGGAGACAAGGGACAAGCACATGACTTCCTCAATCACGCCAGTGTCAGAACAACACTAGCGAGACAGCCCAACAGTTTGGAGAGTATCTGCCACCACGCCTGAAGACACGAACTCAATCACCTCGCCCCACGCGGAAGGAGAGGACCTAGCTCTGTGGCACGTGTGTCCCCCACCTCCCCCTGTTCTGACTTAATAATTTTAGAAAGGGACTTGAAAGGTGAGTTTTCTTTCACTATAGCCATCCACGACCTTCAGATTCCCAGCATCAGGCATGAGGCACCTCCATGTGTCTCTGTCGACTTTCCCAAGAGTTCAGAGGCTTATGGTCAAATGAAGGGAGTTGGAGAACATCAGAAGGGAATTCCACAGATAACTTACAGGTCCTAACTGACCTACTACAGAATGGATCATAACTACTCTAACTCACCATTAGTGATTGCATTCGTCTCCTCATTGTCTAACATCAACAAGCTTTATTAAAAGTGATCTCAGAGTGTATGGGTGAGGGCTTATGGGGGGGGTGAATAAACACAATGCACGTGAGTCTTGTTAATTTGTATCATCAGTATGTGCTGACAGTAACAATAACAAATAAGTGATACTGTATTGTGATACAGCCATAAAGGCACAAACTCGGTAAATACAGGAGTCGTGTGGACAAGGGAGCGTGACTATAGGTACAACCCTGCTCTAGCTCCAGTGAGGTCACCTGACACAGGAGTGAGGATCAGAAGCACTAGCAACAGAGGGAATAATCAAGAGGAAGAAAAATGGATTTAAATGATGGCTAACAGCGATTTCACAACTGTTCTATTTGTGCTGTTTCAGCCATCTCTGTGGGTCCTTTTCCAGCAGTCTATGCTTTGTTTTCAGCCCGTGGGTGAGCCACCCTGGATGTGCCTGACGCCACTAAACAAGACTGAAATCATTCTGAAAGCTCATTTGAAAGTGTGAGCTGGGTACATGATCGACATTGTACCTTTCTTTCCAAATGCCTTTCCAAACGTGTAAGTGCTTCAGTTTCTCCTCCTGGCCACACTGCAGAGGACAAACCATCTGTATCAAAACCTACGGGAAAAGAGAGAAAAGAAAATCACCATGATTATTGTTATTATCATGAAACAAAAATAATTTGTATCAGGAGTACAAAGGACTACACAGGAGTGCACAGGAGGAGTACACAGGACTTCAAAGGACTGCTTAGACTTGCACATGAAGGCCTACACTGGCCTCACCAGATGTGAGACTCCTGCCCAGAGACCACAATACAGCCAGGACAACAAGCCCCTCCCCCAACACTTATCTTCAGAATGCACTTCTTCACAAGGACAGCAGGTCACGTGTTACAGAATATACAAAATATTTAGATTCTGAGGTTTTCCCTTTATTTTCTTCTTTACTTTTCTTCCAATTAAAATTACATTAAAAGTAAATTTTCCCAGCCTGGTCTACAAGAGCTAGTTCCAGGACAGTCTCCAAAGCTACAGAGAAACCCTGTCTCGAAAAATAAAATAAAATAAACCCTTATAAAAAAAAAAGTAAATTTTCCAAATGATTTATATTAACTCTTTTAAAATATATTTTAAATTATTTGAGTTTCATACAATGTATTTTGAGCACACTCACGTCCCTTATCCCCCATCCCCTAAAGCTTCCCATCCTGACTTTGTGTTCTTGTTCATCTTTCTTAACAAAGCCATCAGGTCCATTCTGTGCTGCCCATTTACTCTGGGTGGATTTTTAACCCCTAAGCACCGTGTTTATAAAGAGCTGTACCCACCTAGCTCTTCCAGGGAAGGGACTCCATACTTTTCATCATGGTCATCAGACAGAGGGGTCACACACGTTCCTATCACATCTGAAGTGATGGTCTCTGCTGGCATCTCCAGCGGCTCCATTTTGCTGATGAGAGTCTGAAATCTTTTGTAAGTGAGAGGTGGCTGTCCACCATTGAGCTCGATGATCCTATTGCAGGAGTGAGTAAAACACAGGAAATGACAATAGACTTTGATAAGCTCAAAGACTTAAGATCAGAAATCTATCAATTAAGACCTTTGGTATGACCAGAAAATGTGTTCAAAATAGTTAATGAATCTAAAAATCATTCTTTCAAATTCTTAGATATTTATTATGTGTCAAAGAATATGCAAATATCAAAACATTGATGTCAAGTTAAAAATAACAGTGCCTCAACTAGCCTACAGGATGTGTATATAATAACTACCATCAATGGACAAGTGAAAAATGAGCTCATGGAATCTCAGAGGCTCTATACAACTTAACTAGGCTGATGATTACACCAAGAAATTGTCAGTAAAATTAAATTTGCTGTGTGTATTTGAGGTTTGCACCATGATGCTGCAGGAAACATACAGATACTAGTTTTACTGAAGAGTAAATGATCTCACTGGTAACCTGTTCCTGTTTTGTGGCTAGAATAGCTAAAATCCACTGTGTAGCACAACTCCCCAGCCATCAGCACCTCCTTAATTACAGCCGGCACGCTGTGTCTTCCACCCCCAGACATTCTCATTCTGTGTATTTGTTCCTGTATCTTTTCTTCTCTGTCTTCCCATTTCCTTTATCAGTTTTCATTAAGACTATATAGGTGTTTTCTGTTGTGTGTGTGCCTCTGTTAGACACACGTGTGTCTGTTACACAGCAGTATCCCCTCTCTGAGCTTCTGTTATCTGTAGTTCAGTTATGTTCATTTGTGCTGCAAAATATTACATCTAGACGATATAACTTATTGTAGAATACTGTTTTAACTGTTCAATAATGCTGTTAACTTCCTATGGTTTATAATTTCCAAAGCAAGCTTCATCGTTGTGTGATATTTAGACATAAAGTACAGGGTATGCAGGGCTTGAATTGGTGGTTTAGGGGCATCTACCAGGGCTTTTGGAATGTCATCCTCATGGATAAAAAGAGAAATACCAAAGATATATGTACACCAAATTGCAAATCATTACATTTTTTCCAAGTCATTTAGACTTAAGTACATTATGTCGTGACTGCTGACCAAGATGCCTCAATCCAGTCACACTTCCAGGACCAGACCAGGCAGCAGCACCATCGAAGGTCTGCTGTCTAGACACTTTCACAATAACTAATTATGCTTTTTCATTCCAGCTATCTGCTTACAACTACAAGTTAAAGCAGCTTTATCCTTTAGGTAGATTAGCAAAGTTCACATAACTGATAATATTGCTAATCAAGCATTTCTTCATCCCAAACATAATGTATTTTTCTTTATACCTTAATATCAATTATATTTACAGAAAAAAAAAAACCATCAGGAAAGCTAGTCTTGCTGTAAGTAAAGTTTGCTTTGGTTTAGTGTCCTGAGACCACACACAGGACTATAATGAATTTTGCTGAGTGCAATGATGCTACAATGACACGATCACATGTCTCTTCAATATCTACTAGAAAACTGGAACCCATAGAAACACTTTATACATAACATAAATATGATAACCTTTAATATGCATTCATAAATAACCCAATAAAAATTAAGTTCACAACACAGCCGAGTCTCCCACTTAGCAGCAATTTCTCTTATCCCATTTGCCTCCTTATAATCACTCGCTGCAGTTAAGAAAACTGGTAAACTAGAAGGCACATTTTATTACCAAAAGGGCTGGGCACTTCTAGGTTTATAATAAGGTAAGACATCTGTCTGAATCAAATCATGATTCTATTCATCCACTTGCAAACAGAAGTTAATTTAGTTTGATATGTGACTTACAAAATTATTTTGTTAATGGTAAAATGTGTACATAATTTAAAAGGTGAAATCATTTAATAAGTACATAAATCGTGATCTTTTCATATTTATAAAGACGATTTCATGCCAGCAGTTACTGTAAACTTGCACAGCTCATGAACTCCCTAGAATCTTAGCACATGCTACACACTAAGCTCAATTTGGCCACAGAATCTTTGCTGGCCAAAGCGCCCCAGAGACTGGATAGTGTTTCAATAAATACACTGAACAATAGGGGATGATACCATGGTTCAGAGGACCCTAGCTGGGTAGTCACATTACTTCTATTTTCATCTCAGCTAAACGAAAGGACAAAAGAGTACCCACACAGTAACACAAAATATATAAAAGTAAACTATGGCTGTGTGTCAAACACATAGCTGTAAATTTAGAAATACTGACACCCTAGAAAGGCAATATTGGGTGAATCAGTAGTCGGATAAAAATGTGTAAATAACATTTCTTAGTTTAATGCTGAAAGGCTAAATACTTTTTTTATGCACTATATCTATAATTTTGGTATTACAACTGAGCAAATGAAATCACAGCAGCTGAGTAAAATGCTAAGGGCTTGGTGTACATTCTGGTTCTGTCATTTTCACTTTATAACCTTACTCAACTATGCACTTAATGTCACCCAACAGAGTACTTAACAATGTCTAAGATGGTGAATGTCACTGTATATTCCTTGCAATAAGAAGCTCGCCTTACTTGTCCAGATCGTACAGGGTGTGTGAAATGCGCACAATGACTTCCACTCCAGCCTCGGTGGCCAGCTTCTTGATAGCTGCATCACGCTCCTTCCCAAAAGGCTCTGAGTCATACTCAATGGAAAGTTTAGTGATGCTCCATTCCTAAAGCCAGACAAGAGAGGGGGCAACAAGACATTATGGTTTTATAAATGTGTTCTTCTAACATCAAATGATGAAAAGCTCAACATCCACATCAAACAATATACATAAACCAAACTTCAAAAATGTGGGTGGAAAATAAACCATTTGACAATGTGAAAATATGACAAATAAATGCTAACTAGATTCCAGGCGCTGTGCCAGGCATGAGTAAATTTAGCAACACACTTACTGTACTCTTCTATACTACAGTGTTTAGGCAGTATTTATTTCAATTACTTTTATTGCCTTATTTATTTCTGAATGAAAACTACCCCCATTTGCTATTTTGCAGATAAGGTTATTATTATTTTTTTTCTAAAAAGGGACATGTTCAGGCTTACAGAGACACATGAACTTATATCTGGTGATTCTAAGAACTTCTCTTTAAAAAGCCTTTGATAGCTGATATGGTATGAACTGTTTTGCTTAGAAAGACTTATTTCTGACTATTAAAATGATGACAGCAAACTGGGTGGTGGTGGTGGTGCATCCTTTAGTTCCAGCACTTGGTAGGCTGAGGCAGGCAGATTTCCAGGTTCTAAGACAGCCTGTTCTATAAAGTGAGTTTCAGGACAGCTACTCAGAGAAACCCTGTCTTGAAAACAACAGCAACAACAACAAAAAGTTGACAGGAGAAAACTTGGAACGAGCAATAAAACAGCAACTATTGACTATTATTGCATCAGTAACTTACATGTCTTTATAGTTGCTATAAATAAGGAGACTATGACTTAAGGGAATTAAATGATTACCTCAGGATGGTAGTCAAGTTTTGTTGAATTCTAAAATCTATTCTGATTTACTTCAAAAAGGAATAGAAATCCTATAATTCTGTTATTTAACTGACTAAATGATACCACATAAACAGACCAAAGGTGTTACCGATGGTACAATGTACATTATACATCTGGCAATTGATTACCTTTCATAAAGATTTAATTTTTTTATTAATCTTCCAGATAAAGATATTTAATTTTTTTTAGTGTGTATATTTGTGCTCGTGTGGATGCCATGGAAGCCAAAGAAGGTATCAGATCCTCGGGAGCTGGGGTTCTGGAGCACTGTGAGCTGTCGATGTGGGTGCCAGAATCTGAAGTCAAGTGTACTGGAAGAGCAGTAAGCTCTCTTATGGCTGAGCCAGCTCTCTAGCCCAGATAGATACATTTAAGACGTGTTCAGTCATTTATCATATCTTCCTAGACATAAATCCTTGAGAGAAAAATGATGGATTAAACCATGTTCTCAGCTGCTGTGCCTTAAATTCCCATCAGCACTGCTCTAGAGTGACTGCCAGCTGCACGTATTCATTATTGTTCAAAGGCGTCTTTGAAACTGCTAGGAGAAAAATAATACATTTAAAAGTTTTTCCTTTCTTGAAGGTCTGGAATGTAACAGCAGTTAACAGATGATTACCTTAAAGTTCGTATTTGCTAGTACAAACATGACAGTTTTGAAATTTAAGGATAAATTGTAAATGAGAGTAGGAACCATAGTGTATACACACTTATGTGTTTATTTCATGCTAAGGTGTATAGTCTAGCAGTACAACACCCCAGGACTGGAAGCTGAGGGTCTCCTAGTGAAGACACCTCACTCTGAGAGCTGAGAGTGTCCTAGTGAAGACTGCTCACACTGCAGACACACTGCTCTCCTAGCCTGCATTGTGTGTTAGTGAGCAGAGAGCATGGGGGAGCATGGTGAACCCTAAGCATCATGGCTTCCACGTGTGCGTTTCTGTGCATTGCAGCCGATGTCCTCTTGATTCTGTTGTAACTGTGTGGTTTCTTAGAGCTCCTTGTAATTTAACAACAGAACCCTTCATTGTGTAAGTCATAAAGACCTTTACCCTAACGAGTATCTTGCAATTAGTTCTGTGTATTTTTTGAGAAATAATATTTTAGTTGTTAAGTGTTTGAGGTGAGTTAATAAATAATACTCCTTGTTATTTTTGCTTTTTGAGTTCAAGAGCTAAAGGTATAAGTACATTACCAGTAAAGCTTAGTTGGAGAAAGCATCGTAGGGTTAAGGGAAATCAGATTGCTGATGTCACTACTGAAGTGGACAGTGGTACTTAACATTCCCTACTCTGCCAAACATACGGAGCACCTCCCTTACGTCATGGGCTCTCGCTCTAAGACAGTATACAGAAGAGGAGGGTAAAATGTATGTGAAAGAGAAAAGGAACTGTCTGAACCATACTCACCCAGCTCTTTCTCCTCAACTCCTCAATACATCACATCTCTTCCCTGGGAATGAATTAGTGAACATTCTCCATAAGAAAAACTGAAAAGCCAGGGAGAACATTCCCTGAACATTAAATGTATTAATTTACACACCATTTTCTTTTGGGAAGCACCTCTGAAATATTCTTGAAAAGAACAACCATGAGTGGCTACTGTCATGGCAACGAGTAAAGGAGACATGCTTACAGTGCCCAGCTCATGTCACAGTGCCAAGCAGAGTCAGAGAGCAGGCACAGCAGCCGATGCCTGCACCATGTCTTCCCAGGACTGCAGGCACAGCAGCAGATGCCTGCGCCATGCCTTCCTAGGACTGCTTTGTTTCACTCATATCCCGTCCTTTACCGTTTCCTTTCCTCTACTTTGTGATCGGCTTGGTTTATTCCTTTTCCATCTTTGAGGCAAAAAGTTACTTATTTGTCTCCTTCATATCTATAACAATATAGAAAGCTATGAGCTTTCCCGAGTACTTCTGGGGGCGGTTATCCGTATTTGGTATTCTGTTGCTATTTATTTTAAATTTAATTCTATTGGACTCAGAGAGTGTCAAATGTATTCTAACATGTGTGAGAGAATGCACGTGCATGTCTCGTTGCCATGGAGGTCAGAGGACAGCTGCAGGAGCAGTCTGCTTTCACCATATGGGTCCAGAGACCAAACTCAAGTGTCAGATCTGGTGACAAGTGCCTTTCCCTGCTAAGCCATCTCACTGACTCTGTGTAAGGCAGCATGAAACAATATGATGCTATTCTATCCAGAATTAAAGTTTAAAATTATATATTTAAATGTATTTCTATTTTATGTGTATGGGTATTTTGTCTGCATATATGAAGTTCTTCACAATGCATGGTGTCCTCAAAGGCCAAAAGAGGGCACTGGATCTCCTGGAGCCAGAGTTAGACCATCATGAGCTGTCATGTGGGTCTGCAATCCAAGTCCAGGTCCTCGGGAAGAGCAGTGAGGATGTCAGTCACTGAACCCTCTCTCCCGTACTAGGGAGGAAAATCCAACACAATATAAAAAAGTCGCTGGCCTGAGAAAAAGTCTGTTTAAAAACAAAATAAAAAACTGTGGTATTTGTAATACCAAAATCTTAGAAGACATTTTACTTCCACCAAACAGATTTGGAGAGAGGACTGATGTACTTATCTGCACACGTTGCGGTTTGTATGAGCTGTGGAGGAGGTATCATTACTTTCAGTCTGCTTTCTTGTCAAAACTCTTCCACATACCTAGACTAAATGAGAATTCTTCAGGAGTAAACAGTCTCTTCTAGCTAAGACTGCTACATTAGGTAAGCACTAATGTTTCTTCCATACTAGGAAAGTTAGGCAAAACTGATTTACTTCCCAGCACTGGAGACCTTCTCATTCAGGGAAAGCAATGTCTCTTTTGCATTAGAAATATTGCTATTTTTGCAGATACCTTTAATCCCAGCACCGGGGAGGTAGAGGCAGATGGATCTCTGAGGTCAAGGCCAGCCTGGTCTACAGAGTGATGAGTTCCAGGACAGGTAGGGCTACATAGAGAAACCCTGCCCCGAAAATGCAGGAAAAAAGCCATTTTAAAAACTAAGGTATATCAAATAGCTGCAACACGAGCAGATATACAGCTAGAAATCTATGTGTAGTAAGGGGGGGAGAGTTTAAGACTGCAGGAACATGAATGGTCTGAGATGCTCAGATCAGCTAAATGTCTCATCTTGGGCAACTCACTAATTTCCTTCAGACCTTGAGAAGTTTTCACTGCAGTAAGACAATGAAATTAAGAAGATTCTTCCAATTCAAGTCAAAACAAAATCCCCCAATACTATAATTCTATACTATTGGTAAAATGTGAGTGTTCACTCCTTTTCCTGTTGCTGTGATGGGACTCTCTGAGGAGGGGGGACTGGAACTCAGAGTCGAGCATCAGGGTGCAGGGAGTGATGAGCCACGCTGCTTCTCAGCTCCCCTCCTCCAGTCACAGTCCAGGATCCCACTAAGCAATGGTGCCGCCCACAGTGGGTGGGTCTGGCCACCTCGAGTTAACACAGTCAGGACAATCCCATCCCAGTCATGTTCAGAGACCCATTTCCCAGGTGATTCTAAATATCAAGGTGACAATGGAGATTAACTATCACTGCCCTCTTAAAAAAAACAAAACCTCACAAAGGAACATAAATGTGGACAAGGAGGTTCCCTGGCAACACTGTGCTAGTCAGAGGCCTACGGGAAGAGTAACTAAACATTCAATAGAAAACCAGTAGAAGAAATCTAACACACCCATACATGTTACTACTACAGAATCATATAAAAGACCAGGAGATGACATGAAATGTCCTCCAACATATGAATAACGCACAGAACAGAAGATTGTGTATAACGTGTTCTCATTTGACGATTAAAGCAGAGAACAATTAACACAGACACAGACACATGGATGTCTAAACACAAATTCTTGTTCATACAAAGGGTATTTATATTTGCACATGCAGGAAATGGAAATAGTGCTGCTTTGGGGAGAACTAATAGTCTGAGGCCAAAAAGGAACTTTTCATTTTAACCTTTCTAATGTCTAATTTTACTATATTAGCACTGTCAATAAAGAAAAGCCACATTTTTTTATTTATTTAAAAATACTATTTCCTTTGGACACCACAGTAGGGCTGATCCTGTTGACAGGGCTCTTGTGAGCCAGCCTCAAGAACATGAGCATGGGAGAGCTGGCCCCACCCATGTGGTCCTGGCACAGCAACCCCCTCCCCGCAGCACGTGGGAGTGATGGCCCTGGTGTCATGAGAGCAGAGAGCTGGCTCTGGTCCTCACTGGCTGCAGCACTTGGGAGAGCAGGGCAACACACTGGAGCTGGCTGGCCCTGGTGTTGCAGGTGCAGGAGAGAGCGGGAGAACTGGCCTGGTCCCTTGCTGCCTGCTGCACTGATGAGTTTGCCCGGGGCAGTGCTGGAGAGCTCACCTTGATGGTGGGGAAGAGGGGGAGCTGGTGGGCTGACCAACTCAGCAGAACTATGAGTTGACCCACCCAGCATCCAACCCATCCGTAAACTGCTGGAGCACATGAAAGGGCCGGACCTCAGATCCAGAGCTGCAGGATCTCCACGAAGAGTTGCAGTGAGGATCCGGTATTGATAATGTAGCAGAAACCAGAGGCCTCATTGCAACGAACACTTACAAGTAAAGATGTGTGGACTAAAGGGTATTGTGACTTCTGTGTCACACTCTAGCTTCCATGATGAGGTTTTTTTTAAACTTTTCTTATTTTATATTGAGGGGGAAGTTGCAAGGGCAGAGGACGCATACAAAGGGATGGGGAGATGAATGGGATCAGGATACAGGATATGAAATCCATGAAGAATCAATAAAAAGCTTAAAAAAATACTACCTCCCATGCTTTCGCAAAAAGGTATTTGTCAAATATTTGCTCTGGCAAAGATTATTATTCATGCACATGTTTTCAAATTACCTTGAAAAGCCTGGGGAACACATCAGCTGGCTGCCCACGAATCACAAACAGACGAGAATTCAGCTTCCGTAGATTGGAATCCAGATCCTCAAGACACTGAAGCAAAAATCTAGAGAGAAAATATTATAAACCTTAAAATATGTATCTACAAGGTATAAAATAATGTAACACTACATTCTACAAATGACAAATGTGGACTAATCATTTTATTTACTGGTGACTCAGTATTCTCAGAAGCCATACTGACAAGAGTTTTTTTTTTTTTTAAGATTTATTTATTATGTATACAGTATTCTCAGTACTCTGCCTGCAGGCCAGAAGAGGGCACCAGATCTCATTACAGATGGTTGTAAGCCACCATGTGGTTGCTGGGAATTGAACTCAGGACCTTTGGAAGAGCAGGTGGTGCTCTTAACCACTGAGCCATCTCTCCAGCCCAAGAGTTTTTTTTTTTATTACATCATAATCTCTAACATTTTAAACAAGTCCTGAATTAAATCACTAATTTTCACTAAATAATCTAGTAAAAAATTAACTTGTAATCATAAAATTATGCAAATAAATATCAAAGCAATTAAATGAACTAGTTTCATTGTTCAAATCTAATAAAATGAAATTTTTTTATGGAAAAGTTACTTCAAAGAATCTAGAATATCTTTTATTGGGAAAAATGGAAACGTTCTACTTGGTAACTCTGTATGTCTGAATAATTTAAGCATCTTGGGTGTGGTATGGTACTACACACCAGAAAACAGAGCATTTGAGAGATGACCTTAGAGCCACAAATTCAAGATCAGCCTCAATTATGTAACAAGTTTGGGGTCAGTCAGGCCTACATGAGACCTTGGTGCAGAAAACAAAACAGGCAAATGAGAGAAAATGAATACTTTGCTAGAGGACATTGCAATCACCTAGGAGAAACTATAGTGCCCTTTTCTAAATCTAATAAAGCTTCTAATATAAGAAAAAGGAATAGATAGCTGCTAAATCATATGCCATGAACTCGTGATTATAGAGAATACTAGTTAATTTGAAACAAGCAAAGGTTTCATGGAGTGGGTGGGATCACACGGACTTCTTCAGTGAAGTAAGCAGAAATAAGATTTACACATGAGAAACACCTGGGAAAATTCTGGAGCTGTAGGGAAACTGCTTACTCTACATCTTCTGTTGCGATGACAGAGCGTTTCCCAGAAACACATCCAAAAGGGAGGCTACTCTGGAAAGTCCAAGCTCATTATCCATTACTTCCACCCAGATTCTGCTCCTCTCAGCTGGGCAGATCTCAGTTTGTCTCTACTTTGTTTCTTCTATGTTCTTCGGGTTAAGGATTCTTTTGTCTGCCTTTCCCATGAGTTACAACCTCACTGAGAAGCAGCAGTGAGGAGGAAGCCAGGCGGAAAGGAAGAACGCATGGCAGAAACAGACATTACAGGACGGTAGCTAAGGGTTAAGTGGAGCCGTGGTGTCCAATCTCCAGCGGCCAGCAGCCAACATCCCAACACAGAGTACATTTCTACCTCTGAAAGGTCACACACACAGCACTGTCCTGACAGACTGCTCAGACTAGGGACTGTCTGTATTCTTTGTGCACTCTCTGCCTTCAGTACCTCAGTCTTGCTGGTATTTCATAACTCCAGTCATCAGTGACATAAGTGCATTAGTTAGTCTGAGATAGCCCCTCTTTAGCAGCCTCCCACAGCCTTGGAGAACTTTGGAGAGCTCTCTATATCCATAGGTATACCCATGTAGATATGAAAGATAATCTTAACATTTCATCTTAACAAGTCTCATGGTGCTGTTAAACAAACAATGATGTGGGAATGATTTCTTATTAATAAAGAAACTGCCTAGGCCCATTTGATAAGCCAACCCTTAGGCAGGCGGAGAAAACAGAACAGAATGCTGGGAGAAAGAAGCTGAGTCAAGGAGTCACCATGATTCTCCCACTCCAGACAGACGCAGGTTAAGATCTTTCCTGGTAAGCGCACCTCGTGGAGCTACACAGATTATTAGAAATGGGTTAGGTCAATATGTAAGAGCTAGCCAATAAGAGGCTGGAACTAGCCGGGCCAGCCAGTGTTTAAAAGAACACAGTTTCCGTGTAATTATTTCGGGGCATTCTGTGTAATTATTTCGGGGCATAAGCTAGCCATGCGGGCAGCCAGGTGCCGGGGACGCAGCCTCACCGCTCCTATTACTACAAAACAAGAAATAAAACATTGTTCTTTTTTTATTTCAACTATCCCCTTTCTGTCTTGGTTTGGACTTACTTCCTAACACCTGAACCCCATCCCTGCGCACTACTACAACATGTCTTACTATTTTGAGAAAAGATTGCTGTTTAGTAGATGCAGTGATACAAAAACATCTGAGGTTCATATTATTCACAAATATGGGTAATTAAATAAGTGAGAAGTGTTCATGAGTAGTACGCAATTTCTTGTGTTTTCTTGGCAAGATTGTTTTGGAGTTTGGGAGGACGTGGTCTTGTGTAGTTCAGGCCAGTCTTGATCTTGTTGTGAAGTCAAGGATGGCTTCTAACTTCTGATCCCGGCTGCTGGGATTCTAAGTAAGTGCCACAATGCTAGGCTTCTTTATATGGTGCTAGAGATTGAATCCAGCATGTGAGGAACTCTATCAATTCAGATACAGCTGCAGCCCCAGAAGAGATATTTAATTTTTAAACAATGGTTAGAGATTATTTATTTGCAGTATATGGCTCTGTGAGTAGACAGCCATGTGTGGGGTGTGTGCACCTGTTCATACCCATGAAGGGCAGACAAGGGTGTCAGTGCCCCCCGAAAGTCTCCTCTTATTCCTTTGAGGCAGGGTCTCTCCCTGAATGGGAGCTCACATTTAACTCTGCTATATTGGTGGCAGTCAGCAAGCCTCAACAATCCTGTTTTTGATTCCCTGAAGCACTGGCATGACTGGTCTTTGAGGGGCACCTTGTTATGTGTTGCTAGGATCTGAACTCTGGTCCTCAGAATTGTGCAGTAAGTACTAATGAGCCACATCTCTAGCTCATCACTTCCCAAGTTATATTTGAGATATCTCAATCTCAATAAATTGAGATTATAATCTCAATAAATATCATCAAAGAATTTTTTTTAAACATTTATTTATTTATTTATTTATTTATTATGTATACAATGTTCTGTCTGTATGCCTGAAGGCCAGAAGAGGGCGCCAGACCTCTTTACAGATGGTTGTGAGCCACCATGTGGTTGCTGGGAATTGAACTCAGGACCTTTGGAAGAGCAGGCAATGCTCTTAACCACTGAGCCATCTCTCCAGCCCCATCAAAGAATTTTTTGATAAAAGAAATAGAATGAACTAGTTTGCATTAAGTAAAAACAGCAGAAAGCTCAAACATCCCATAGAGACAATCCAAGGCAGATGGGATCTCTAAATCTTTGCTGTATTACTGAGCCCACATTTTCTACCAAAACTGGAAGTAAGTGTTCTTCATACTGAATGTAAAGATGGGAACATATCTATAATAGGAAAGGTGGGAAAAAGAAAGAAAAATACCAAAAGGATATAATTAATTCATAAAATAAACAACCAAGTCTAGATTAACATCATGCATGTGAATTCACATTCATACACCCATAAGAAAATGATAAACATGTATCTACCACAAATACAGAAAAAACTATATGCGTATTTCTTTGGTTAAATAAAACATATATGTATCAATTTATGTTTAGTTGTGCATAAAGAAATAACTGGAACGTTACTTACCAGGGTACTTATTATATCTACCCTGAGAAATGGAGTTTGAGTAGAGATAAAAATGCACTAATCTCAAAATTGATTCCTATCCTTCGGGGTAGGATGGATGAGGTCTGATCTCCTGCACCTGGTTTACTGGCTCTAAACATATTTAATAGAGAGCAACAGGTAATTTCATGTTTTCCAGCATGTACTGCACAGATGTTCCATATTCTTAACAAGTCTAGCAGTACGTATTATACACTGATCACCTACAGAAAATCTTGAGTTTCCTTGTCTATAAAATTAGAGTATAATAGGACACACATGGGAATTTGTGAGGCTCTTAGAACAGTGTACATGGTGAACATTGTTATGTGTTACTGAATACTTGGTGTTCTATTTTTACTACAATAACAGTAGTTTTATCTCTTGCTTGTATTTATTGCAGTCTTAAAATAGCCCTACCTACCAGCAATCTCTGCCACCATAATCCATCTCAGTGCACATTATCAGATCGCTTTGAGGCACATATTCTTGTACAAAGATTTTTGAGACTCACTTTTTATTCAATAAAAAGCAAAGCATGTTCTCAATCACCATCCAATGACTCCAGGTTCATCTTCTATCCCACGCCACTACTGGTTGTACTAAACCAAGCTACCACTCTTTTGTACACAACCTTTCTCTTGAACATGTGATATCTTTCCTCAGTCTGAAGGATTTTTGCCAATTCCCATCTCAAGTTTATACCAAGTCTGAAGTCTTAGAGCTGAAGTCACTTTCTCTCCTCTCTCAACTGTCAAGAATGTATTCCACCACAAGCAAAGTTCAAATCATTCATTTTAGCAGAAAAACCTGCATGCAAACATGTATATGTACACACACCCCTCTCTTCTGTGCATCTCCTGTATCTAATTTTTCATGCCTTGGCTTCCCTAACCTAGGTTTTAGTTTATGTACCTGGCAAATGCCATAGCCACAGGTCTTGCAGTCTACTGAAAAGACTGGAAGTAGGACAAGATTCTAGTACGGCTGTTGTACACAGGTCCTGAGAGGATTAGAAATACGTAAAGTCAACTGGTAGCACATGGCTGATATACATTAAATAGAGTCATTGTTACTTTCCCTTTAGAATAGTTTCTATTCTTAAGATGGGCAGGGAGATGTACACTTGTAATTCCAATATTCAAGAAATGAAGTAGAAGGATCCCAAGGCCAAGGGTTGTATAGGCAGTCCGTCTGACCTGCCTTAAAGAAAAAGAGAGAAAAAAGAGTAATACCTATTTCTGAAAACAAACCCCATGTATATACATTAACAGGAAGAATAAATTAGTTGGACGCCCAGGCCTATACAGACTCTCACTGAATGTATAACTCCATATGAAT